TGGACAAAATGTGCCTGGAAAACAGCATCTTCTGCTTGGCAGGTGCCAGGGATTTATGGTTGAGTTCTGCAGACGTTTCATCACGTTACGAGCCAGCTCAGGAGACCCTCATAAAACTCTGCTTATATGAAAGGACAAACTAGCTGATAAAAGTCAGCTGCTGCCTATAAACGTGCTGTGGGGACTGTAATTGAGCAGTGGATTTATTAGTCTAGGCTCTCCGTGCAAATTAAGAACTATTCCACACGTTTGAATCAGGAAGAGAAGAGCTGGAGCACAGAGGGATGCCTCCCTGCTCACATGACGGCAAAACAGGCCATGCTGACCGTCCCCCATTACTTACTCTCCTGTGGACCAGACAAAAGTCTCCCTGAAATTAAGTAGCTGAGGATCTACTCTTATATTCTTTCTCCTGGCCCTCCACAAATACCCATGAAAAGAATCAGCCCACCAATTCTCTATCCACTGTATTCCCTGCACATCCTCTGACAGTACTTCTCACAATGTGCTGACATTTCTACCTGGACTACCAGTATCATGAGTACAGTAATTAGTTCTATGCTGGGCACAAACAGAGCTCTCTGAATGAATGACTATGGATGTGGCAGTCTACAAGGCCCCATATACATAAGTTATTATTAATCCACTCCAAACAGTAATGGAGGGGTTAGAAGGTAAGCAGAGCTGAGGTGCCTGTTGGAATTGTCGAGTGCCAGGAAGGAACAGAAAGGGAAGGAGAGATTAGATGAGGAAGTTATTAAGGCCAGTTTCTTCCCCAGAGAAAGGGCAACCTTTGTGGCTGCTCTACCCAGCTATCCCTCTCTGTGCTAATGGCTTCGTTTTCTCAGGATTAAGGGTGTTTCTTAAAGAATAACCCTGCAACAGAATCAGGGGTATTTGCTAAGGATGCAGATACCTCGGCCCTTCCCCGCACAGACTCTCTGGGGCTAGGGCCCTAATGTGCTATACCAGGTACCAGTTTCAGAAAAATGACTTTCCTTTGCACTATGCAGAAACCAAGAAGGAGCCTTCCAGGAACGATGGGGAGGAGGGAGAGTGCCGGAAAGGGTCCCCGCCTGTCATTCCTTAAAAAGTACTGGCTTTCTCCTCCCAACCCCTGGCATACAGGGCAAAAAGTATAAGACTCTGGCAGACAGTGCCTGGATTCACTCCAACCCTCTTGGCTATGCGATCACAAGGGAGGGTAACTAGCAAGGTTGCAGCTACCCTGGAAAAGGCGTGGATAATCACGTGCCACTGCCACTCAGATGGGGGTAGCTCTGCACTCACCTCTGCATTTGGAGGAATTGTATCCTAGGCAGAGCTGGGTACTCAGAAAACCAACCTCTTGTTACAGCTGAATAGGTATTAAGGTACCTTCTGTGGCAGAGAAGGGACAGTGGTGTAGAGGAAAGACTCCTTTGACCAGAACCAAGAAACCCCTGGTGCAAACTCTGGCAATGTCACTGACAAGCCGTGGGTCCTTGCAAAAACCACTACATCTCTCTAAGCCTGCTTTCTCATCTGCCTAATAGAGGTAAGCATACTTGTTTCATGCACTATTGTTCAGGGTTAAAAAAGACAAGTTAAAGAGCATAGCACAGTGCTACATACTTATTACGTTGTCTATTAAGTCCATTTCAATCCCGCAAATGTTTATAAATTTACTGAAGGCCCTCAGACATCTCCTCTCACTTAAACCTTGCAACCTACCAAGGACATATGATCATCCCCATTATAGAGATGCGACTTACAGGGTGGAAATGACTTCCCAAGATCACACGGCTAGTTAGAGGCTGACACTGGAACACCGATTAGATGACCTGCAGTTCAGTAAGCTCTCCTGAGTCGATTACGTGTTTTCAGTCCTTCTCATCAACACACCAGCTCCTTCCTCTCACCCCTAAACCTGTCCCTCCAAATGTGTACTCGCCCTATCTTCACCTAGGGAGAAGGAATTATAAACAAGCCAATGCTTGAGCAGGTTGAAGATAGTGCCTGGCCTGTCTCATCCTGATTAAAGTCAGAGGTAATACAGTCCACAAAGGCTGATTCCTCCTTGGGCAAGGCTGTAAATCTTACGGAAGCAGACAGCCACATCTGTCTCCCACAGAGTGGCTGGTGGGTCTGAACCACCTGCCTTTCGGTTAGCAGCTGAGCACTTTAGCCACATATCCATTATTAACAATATGGTGTATATTCTTCTGGGTATTTTATTTTTATTTATTCTATCATCTACATAATTATTATAAATAAAAACTCAAAGGACATTTGAGTATTGGGTCTAATGAGGGGCTCTTTGGACAGACGAAAGAGAGACCTAGAAAGGTTTATGGGTGAAGTAGGGGAAGATTTAAGCCGGTGTTTCTCAAACTTTTATGTGCATATAAATCACTGGTATCTTGTTAAAATTTAGATTCTGATTTGGTAGGTATGGGTGGAGCCTGAGTCTGCCTTTCTAACAAGGTACCAGGTATTGCTGATGCTGATGGTCCAAGGACCAGACTTTGAATGGCAGAGCTTTAAACTGTAATACAATGTTAAGAGTTGTAGTTGAGGTAAAACAGAGTGGTGTGGTGGAATAAAGGCAATAACTAGCTGCCTGAGGGAATACTTCATAGAGATAGGCATTCCACTGGCTCAAGGTAACCATTACTCTGCCCGAGAGAAGACTCTTAAGATCAATTTCTACAAGTGGATGGGGTAGGGACAGGAAAGAGGGAAATCTGAACTGTTCGTTCATCCCAAAGACTGTATCTCACTGACAAGGAAGGGGGCTCTGACTACCAAGAGTCTGTTTCCCTAAATAAGGGAAACAGAAAACAGAGCTCACATTTGGTATCTATCTCAACCCATAAGCCAGTGGCACGCTTCAAGAAGGAGCACTAGAAGTATTCCCACTATGTTGTCAAGCCTTGGAAACCTTATAGGGCAGTTCTACTTCTGTCCTACAGGGTCACTATGAGTCAGAATCAACTTGATGAAAGTGGGTGTGTTGGCATGTAGGCAGTGTGTGTTTTCATTTTTCCGTAATGTTTCAATTAAAAGTTTTTTTTTTTTTAAGAATTTAAATAAAAATATGCATCAATGATACCAGATTTGTTAAAAAAAAAATTTTGTGAAAAGACACTGAAAGGATACATATTAAAATATCTTTGCTTGACCTAGACAAAGAAAACTACAAAACACTACTGCAAGAAACCCAAAGGGATCTACATAAATGGAAAAACATACCATGCTCATGGATAGGCAGACTCAACATT